AGGATTACAGGCATGAGCCACCACGTCCAGCTAACTGTGTATTTTTAGTAGAGACAGGGTTTCTCCATGTTGGTCAGGCTGGTCTCAAACTCCCAACCTCAGGTCATCCGCCCACCTTGGCCTCCCAAAGTGCTGGGATTACAGGAAGGAGCCACTGTTCCTGGCCTGAAACCACTTTCTTTATATTGCAGGATAAAGCAAAGAAAATAAGTACTTATATAACTGTTTCAAAATTTTTACTATAAAATACAACTAGGAGCTAGGAAATTAGGTAAAAATACTATACCATTTAAACTGAATTAGAAATATAATATGGACTCATGATTTTTAAAAATACACTTAAAATGTATTTTTTTAAATGCTCTAGCATTTAAAATGTCCTTTAAACAATGTTACCCCTGGGCAATGGACACACCCTCAATCTTGTCTCTAATACGTTTCTCCAATAAAAGGAACCAGAGCTCCTTGGAGAAATGGCCAATTCCAGGTCTGGGAGGAAGGTACAAGTAAGCCTGCAGTGCAGGGAAACTTTCCAAGATAAATGATGTCAGTCAAAATGAGACAAAAATGACCCGAAGAACCGGCCACTGGCCTCAAAAGTGCAGCTGATTCTAGAACACACTAAATATACACAACTTTAGGATGATGTTTTAAAAAAGAAAAAGCCACGGGGGAAAAAAGATCCAATTTGATATAACAATCACGTAAATGCGGCCAGGCACGGTGGGGTTCAGGCCTGTAATTCCAGCACTTTGGGAGGCCGAAGTGGGAGGATCACAAGGTAATAAGTTCTACACCAGCCTGACCAACTTGGTGAAACCCTGTCACTACTAAAAATACAAAAAGAAAGAAAGAAAAAAATTAGCTGGATGTGGTGTCACACCTATAATCCCAGCTACTCAGGAGGCTGAGGCAGGAGAAGCTTTGGAACCTGGGAGGTGGAGGGTGCAGTGAGCCAAGATCCCACCATTGCATTGCAGCCTGGGTGACAGAGCAAAACTTTGTCTCAAAAAAAATGAATAAATTTTTTTTTAAAAAACCACATAAATGCAAAAGGAATAAAAAGACAAGAGAAATTAAGTTAAGACTATACTTCCAGGAATAGTTTCTGGTTTGTTCCTAGAAGTTTCTCATGACATACAAAGTACTATATTTTTATACAAAAAAACCGCAAAAAAACCAGAAAATCACTTTACAAGCCCTGTAGAAATTTACTCCTTCAGTCGAGAATTATTTATTGGTGCTAAAACCATCCACTAAATGATTGATGGGGAATCAACAAAGTAAACAACATTTTGGTCAAAGGGAAGTAACAATCACCAGCCATATGGTATATCTTTCCTAATGGTATGCAATTTTTTTTTTTTTTTTTTTGAGACGGAGTTT